GAGTATCTTAAAATTCAAAGACAAAGTGATTGTAACTAAAAGTCCGCATGGAAATTAAGGATATTCAAGAAAAGTGTTGTGGTTTTTTAAAAAGTCAGTATGCATGCTGCAGCTTTAAAAGATCCAAAATACGTTACCATGTTTATGTAAAGCCTAATCCTCACACAGACCAGAAGAAGAGCACTTAAACAAATTTTCAGCATATTATTTGCCGCAAAACCCAAATAATACCTGATTTGATGGTTGTAAAATTAGCAGAGAAGATAGAGACGGAAAGGAAAGCCGTAATGCATACATCATTGGCCAGAACTGGTGTTTAAACTGCAAGTTTCCTGTGTAACCAGACAGCTCCCTTATTCTCTTCTCTCCCTTCTATACAGAGATACATCTATAACCCTCACCTCCTATCTATAAAGTCATGACCCTGGTATTTTGAGGATAACTAGATGAAAAATTTTCATACTTTTATATTACTGGTAAGGAATGAGACAAAATTCTAATTTGTTAAAATAAAATCACATTATACAGCTGACTTCTTCAGTGTTCTGATCAAATTAGATAAATTATACACAATCACCTCATTACCTCATTACTTTTTGGGCACTTTTTTTTTTTAATAAAAGCCTCCAAAGGATTTTTGTTATAGCTGAAAGAAATTTGCAAATTGATTTTTCTTGTGGTTGTCTTCCTACTTTCTGATAGCTTAACTTAACATAGGCCTCTGAAGAAACACTGCCTTCCATGTATATTAATGCAATGGCATTAAAAAAATTTAGGGAATAGACAAGAAGACTGAAATACAGTCAGCATGATGAAAATTGACCTGAGATGATGCAGGACAAACATGACAGCACAAACTGACTTTTATTCTTTGATTTTATATATATATATATATATATACATGGAAGCGGAGAAGATTTGTCCAGGTAAAGCAATGCTAACTCAGCAGAAAACAGGCCAAGTAGGGATGAATTTCAAGGGATGAAATCACGTTCTGTCAACTAAACCTTTACAGCTGCAGAGGCACCACCGGGCTAGGTTCCCCAGCACCAGGTGCTGCCTCAGGGACAGTCTGCTCCGGGTGCAGATGGGCAGACCCCTGGCAGCCTGGTAGGTGGCCGGTAGAGAAGCTGTCAGGCAGAGAACCACAGCTCCTAATTTGAGGTTTTGCCATCAGGCTTGCAGAGTACTACAGCCTGCCAGCTTCCTATGCTCGGTACAGGGCTCTCTTCCCTTTTCCTTGGCTTTCCTCCAAACCATGGAAACTGAACAAAAACACTCAAATTCTTCATGCAGTTTAACTCCCCTCACCTTCATCAGGGAAGGAGGCAGTATTGAGGCTTGTTGCCAAGGAGTGAATCGCATTCCAATCTCTCCCAGTTAATTAATAAATGGGAGGTCTCAAAAGGGAGTCGGTCACACTAACTTCCTCTGCACATCACTGCAGGGCAGCACCTCAGTCGGAGACAGAGCTCACAGTCCTACCCTCCTTTTTGGATATTTAAGCAGTGATTTCAGTGACAGAGCTATCAAGAAAACTAAATACCCTTCTAAAGGAGTACACAAACCACCCATTGATTGCACCGTTCTCTGCTTACAGAAACGCTTGAAAAAGCAAGCTACCTACAATAACAATGACATACATATGATTTTACTGGGTGGCATTCATATCAAGCTCTGCCAGCCACAAATCTGAATTTACCGCTATTTAACACGCTGCACAACAAGCTTGTATCCATAAAGGCTGGACTACATTTTAACACTTCCAAACATACTATTATTTTCAGTAATTCTGTGGGAAGTATCACAACAAACACCAGAAACTTGAAGAGCTCAGAAGACAAGCCAACCTTTCCCCCTCCGAGTGCATTCAGAGCAATGTCAGCCCGATGAGGCAGAGCAGGGAAGCCTGCACTCATGTGGAAAGAAACCCTCGCTAATGTGCTTCAGGAGCACTAAGCTTCACACGCTGCTTGCCATGAGCATTAAAATAATGGCATGCTTTGTGAGCCCTACAGTTCCTAACAATAAAAAGTATGAATAGTGGGCTAAATGGGTATTTGGGGAAAGATTTAACAGTGTTAAAACTTTTACATCATTTAATTAGAATTGAAAAGTTCCCATATTATCTACCCTGAAAACATACACTCCCTTGCTTTAGAGGCCTTTCAGAAGGGTATTTTCAGTCATAATAAGGGAATGCAGCCCAGCTAGACCTCACACATCTTGGATGAGCTACAGCCCTGATGCAGAGCAAGTCGTATGACCGCCAACTGTGTTGAAGCTTGAAGTTACCAAATGCCAGACCCCAACAAATGCCAAGTGTTGATTTGAAATTTCAGGTATAAACATGCAGGTGACATATGTGCATTGCTGCAAGCTTACTATATACACACAGTAAACACTTTTCTTTTTTCTCTTTTTGGCAATTCAGACACACTAGCAGTTAACTGAACTAGGAACTGTAACACTACCAAAGTCTATTCCCTGAAGAGTTATTACTGATTTTCATTTAAAAAGGGACACCTGCAGCAATAAAATCATAAGCATTCATATGTATCTTGAGAACAGCGGTTTCCTAACACTGCTATGAATGAGCCTAGTATATGAACTACACTGTTCAAGCCTTACTTTCAACAAGAGCTCTGGGGGATTTATAAACCTACCTTCAGAAAGGAATGTGCAGGATTTGTACACTTGGCATAGATTGTGCTATTCATTAGATTTTTTTTTTTCCAAAAACAAACATGGGCCATTTCTGTCCCCACACTTATCATCTGTTTCTATTTATATACACAGTGTGTCAAAGCCACAATTTTCAAATATATATATATATAGAAAAAAAGTGGTGTTGCGATGCACATTTTTTGTAATAAAATCAGCATCCCGCTAGGAATAAACTAACCAGTCAAAAATAATCACACTTTTGTAGTTCTCATTAATTCCATTACATCTATGCAGACTCCTGGAGAATGTATGTTTTTTGACTTAAGCTCACATGGAATTTTTAAGAAAGACTCCCCTAAAAAAAAAAAGTAAATTTTATATCTTAGTTTATGAGTTGAAGTTTCAAGGTGCTTCCTTGCAAGTCCAGACTGTTTCTGTGCTTTAAAGAAGTGGTTTTATATTAACAATATTTAACAAGATCTGCCACAGCTAGAATCCTAAGCACAGTAGCAGTAGCTCATACCAGAAAGTGTTTTAACATGCAGGTTCTTAAATATTCTCCAGACCAGAGCAAAACCCTACGGCTAATATTCCTTGTCAATAGGTAGGAATATGAAGTTCTGGGTAGTATTATTCAAACTGCAGGCCTTCTAATTAACTATCAGTACAATGAATAAATGAATATCCTCTTTCTCACCTTGAGATAGTTCATTTGGAAACCTGCCCCATAGGCACATGCTCCCAGTGTTCCGAACAGAAACACTTGGCTGATATATCTCCTCTTCCAAGGCTACTAACAAACCCAGCTCAAGGGGAGCCAGAGAACAAACCAAGAAGAGATGCAGATCCTCAGCAGTGCAAGGCACTATTTGCCTCACAACTGACAGCTCTGTGCACCTGCATGATGGGCAACACCTGCGAGCAAGGGTGGAATGTTAGCAGGGAGCAAGAAACCAGACAAACACAGTGCAGAGGAGGTTTAGAGAAAAAGACCCTGAATAACTCAAGCAGAACTATCCCGGACAAGTTGGTCTGTTCCAATACATATACAGAACGAGATCTAATAAGCTATAATTATTTACCCTCACTCTTAATCGGGTGCTGCACTCTAACTGCTACAGTGCTAATTAGTCATTGACTCTCTCCTTCAGAGGTACCAGAAATCTACAGCTGATCATCACACCTGTTCCATAGTAAAATACCATCATTTAAAAAGGATAAATAGCACTGCTAAAGCAAAGGGATGGATATGGTACAGGGGCTTGCACAAGCTAAAGAGATGAGGACATCGGGTCATCTGGTTTCAATAAAGAATAAAAATGAGGCGTTTGGAGGAACGTGCAACCCGTGGGCTGAGGCAAACCCACCTCCCACTTTGACTTGTAAACTGCTGTCCTACAGAATTTCAACACAAAAGATGCCATTCCTTGGACCTAAAAGGTCTGTACCTCAAGCTAGCGTAACATACGCATAACACTATCTTGCATCTTAAACGAGTGGAACGTTAAAAACACAGTTTAAGAAAGAGGAAAAAAAACAGTTTTTTATCAAGTTAACAGAAAAAGTTCCTTTCACAATTTAAAGACCTAACAGATCTGGAAAATAAAGAAGGAAAAGGTAAAAGTTCACAATGTAATTTTTACAAAGTAACTGAGTTCAAGATGTCGAGGCCATCATTACCCCTACAGGGTAATAGAATTTAAGCTCTGACCACTGCAAGTGAACAGAAAAACACGGGTGGACATCAACACCACCAGACCTCAGGGTCAAGTACACAGATATATTTAAACAGAAGTTACACACCTGCGTGTTACACACCAACTAGGTATTTGAAGGACTCCCTCAGAGGCTGCACCGTGGAAGAGGGACACGAGCACTACAAGAACAGGTTTCAAGGACTCCTTGCCAGAGTGGCCCACGCCACGCCACGCCACGCCACGCCACGCCACGCCACGCCACGCCACGCCACGCCACGCCACGCCACGCCACGCCACGCCACGCCACGCCACCGACCGTTACAACCGTTACTTCGCCTCGTGCCTCGAGCGGGCGCCTCTTGAGGCAGCCGGTCCTGGCAGGTGCACGCGGCGCTCTGGATGGCGGCGGGGAGCAGCCCCAGACAAACACCCCATCCCCCCCCACACACACACACATCCAAGCACCCACCACGGCGGGCTGCGCAGCGCGCTCCGTCTCCCGCAAGGATGGCAGGCGGCCAGATCCCGGAACTATATGCAGCTGCCAGGACCGGCGTCGGCGCCGGGTGAGCGCTCTGCGCAGGCGCGGCTGGCTGCGCAGGCGCGGCGCGGCGCGTGGCGGCGGCGGGGAGCGCCATGGGGAAGCTGAACGCGGTGACGCTGCGCTACCTGAGCCGCGAGCACTTCAGGGTCCTCACGGCGGTGAGGGGAGGGCGCGCGCGTGGGGACGCCGAGCTCAGCAGGGCCCGGCGCGGCGCGCGCGCGGATGGGTGACCGGGCGGCGGCAGCGCGGCCCGCGGGGCCTGACCTGTCTCCCTGTCTGCCCCTGCAGGTGGAGATGGGCATGAAGAACCACGAGATCGTCCCCGCGAGCCTAGTGGCCACCATCGCCAGCCTGAAGCACGGCGGCTGCAACAAGACGCTGCGGGAGCTGGCCAAGCACAAGCTGGTGGCCTACGAGCGCACCAAGGGTGAGCGGGGCGGCCTGGCCCGCCCGCACCGAGGTAAGGGGCACTTAAACCAGGACACGTAGCGAAGACTAACACGTTCTGCCGTGTGTCCCCGTCCAGCCGTGCAGGGCTACCGGCTCACCAACGCCGGGTACGACTACCTCGCCCTGAAGGCGCTGTCTTCCCGGCAAGTCATCGCTTCCATTGGGAACCAGATGGGCGTCGGGAAAGAATCAGGTAACCTGGAAAATGTACGGGACGTTTCTTAAGCAGAGAGCGCTGCGGTGGTGCCTTTTTCTAGAAAGGCAGTGAAGTTTCGTCTGAACGCACCAGCTCGCCTGTCAGACCTTGAAGGCTCAGGAGTCACTGCTGGGAATACTGCTGCGTGACGGTGCTGGTGCATTCCACTGTTTCTCTTTAGAAGATTATCCTTTGACTTTAACTATAACAACTGCGTTATTCCTGTATTGTTACTTCAGAGGAAACTTCACAGGCAGATGGCTTTTGTCTGCTGCTTAGTGAAGAATTTTGAGCAATTTGTACGAAAAGATAACCTTAGCTCTTCTTGTTGCACCTAATAATGAGATAGGGGGTTAAAATACTGCCAAAACTGTTGAAACATGCCATTTATTTCCTTTGTCTTCCAGATATTTATATAGTTGCAAATGAAGAGGAGCAGCAGTTTGCACTGAAGCTGCACAGGCTTGGAAGAACTTCCTTTCGCAACCTTAAAAATAAACGTGACTACCACAAGCACAGGCATAAAATGTCATGGCTGTATCTGTCCCGGCTAGCAGCAATGAAGGAGTTTGCCTACATGAAGGTGGGTGGCTCTTAGATACACAGAGGATTAAACACATGCTAAAGTTTGAAAACAGTGTAAGACTTAAGTAACAGAAGCTAAATTTATGTTGCTATGGTGCATCAAATGAGTGACAATCTTTGCCTCAGAAAAGGCTAATAGGAGAGCATCATTAATCTGTGATGTGGTGTAATGCTTGCTCTTACTATGTAAGAAATGAACTTCTGCCTTATGGAAACTCTCTCTGTTTGCTGAATTAACAAACCAGACAGAACTGAGTGGTCAGCAATTTAAAATGTGATATCTTTTTCCAATGCCTGCCACACTTCCTAGTATTCTGTGTTGATTACTTGGGCTGTCAGTCTAGATTCTGTGTTTTATTTTCCATTCTGTGTTTTATTTTTCCTCCAAATGTAAAATAATTAAATTGTAGACAAGATAGAAGCATGTTTAGTGTCTAAACTTATGAATGTGATTTGGCTTTGCAGTGAAAATTCAGAAGGATGTCACGATGCCTTCCTACTTGAGCCTGTAGTCTGGTGCTCCTAGTTAGTATCAGGGCAATCTGCATTGTGCTGCTCCCCAAAGAGTATTTACTGCTTAGCACAGATAGGAGTTTGTTAATATATATGATGTTTCCTTAACCATTTACTTTAATTTTTCAACGTATTGTTGTCTTTTTCCAGGCCTTGCATGACAGAAAGTTTCCCGTTCCCAAACCTGTAGACTACAACAGGCATGCAGTAGTTATGGAACTTATTAGTGGTTATCCCTTGTAAGTACTGAAGCTCGAGTCCTCCGTGTGACAGAAATCCTGACTGTGTTACGTTCAGTAGGTAGCAGGGTTGGGGTTTTCCTTGGCTTATGGGGCGGCTGTGACCTGCCCTTGCTGGAGTTTTCTCTGCAGCCCACACGGGTTAGGCTGCTGCTTGCAGTTACAGCTTGCTTTCTGTTAGCTACAACCAAAGAACAGGGTAGTTCTTTCGTTCAAAGAAATTACTGAAGTAGGCTGATATTTAAGTATGGAATAGACTGAAAGAGCAGTGAGGCAAAGGTGAACATGACAACTGTTTTCTGCATAGAAATAGTGTACCCTGTATGACTCCCATGTTTTGATCTTTCTTTGCCTTCAGCTCCTTCCTGTAGTAATTCAGCTAAGGTTACAGTTCACCCTTTTACAACTTTCTCTTTTGTGTACCTAGAATATCACGTATAATTACCTTTATTGTTGTTGCTTCAGGAAATGTTATCTTGAGTTGTTTAATGCCTAGAAACATTAAATATCATTGGAGCTTGTAGGTGAATAGATGGCTTGGCTTGTTTGCACAAGTTTCCACAGTTGGTGTAAACTAAAACAACCTACGTGGTTAGCCAGGCATTTGAAGGAGCAACTCTGGAACAAGGCAGATCATGTTCTGATGTAACAGTCTATCTGTAACGGGCATTTTATTTAAAAGTGACTAAACTCGAAACTTACGTGAATTGAAGAGTAACAAAGAAGAAATGCCTTTAAAATCCACTATATTCTTTCACCCAACTTCATTTATTAAATAATTGCATATCTGTGCTGTAGATAAAGCACTTGAATTCCATGTGGACATCACAGTGAAAGTTTACTGTGCTGTCACTTTTTTGCAGCTCTGACGTGAAGGAGAGGCTGCAGGGATTGAGAATTATTTCGAATACGTCCTGTCTAACAAGAAGCAGTTAACGTGACTCCCATGTTCAAAAAAGGATTGTGATATTTTATGATACAGACTTGTGGCTATGGAAAATATTGCCAGTTAATTTTAATACCAATGTATAGTGCCAAAATTGTAGACAGTGACCTGTTACAAAGCTGCTGGCTTCCATTGTACTTCTTTTGTATTATATGAAAATGATTAATTCTTAAAACACTCTAGTGCTACATTCAGACCAAAATATCTCATGAAGTAACTGTAAGTGCTGACCTCTTCTTGACCATGCTTAGTACAACAAAGCAAATGCCTTCTTTCTTAGGCTGCTTCTAAAGAGGTGAGGATCTGTATTTTGCTGTTTTGTCCTGGTAAGCTACTTTGCTTTCACTAGTGTAGGTTCTGGTTTTAGAGAGTTTTGTTTTGTCCTAAGTTAGTCTAGAAAACAGCTTTTTATGAAGGAAGAGGTAAAGAGCTCTGTCTCTTTGATTACAACAAGACCTAGTGCTGCTCCTGACAGCAGGAGGTTGGACTAGAAATCTCGTGAGGTCCCTTTCACCCTGAATCACCCCTTTTTACCCCAAGATATATTTCATCTACCTTTTACTTCATTTAAGTTTTTGAAAGTACAGGATATTTCTCTTTTATTTCACTTCAGGTGCCAAGTGCGACAATTGGAAGATCCTGCCTCTGTCTACAGTGAATTAATGGATCTAATTGTAAAACTTGCCAATCATGGTTTGATCCATGGTGATTTCAATGAGTTTAATCTCATATTAGATGATGATGACCGTGTCACCATGATTGATTTCCCTCAGATGATATCAACATCACATCCAAATGCTGAATGGTAGGTGAAAGCTTCTTAATGGCTGGTGCTTTCAAGGTAAATGTAGCAACTGACGGTAACAGCAAATGGCCAGACGTAACTCCTTAGTTTCTTAAGGCTGTTTAGATTTTTTTTCTACAACTGCTATCATGTAACACAAATATTATGACAAATCCTGTTCAATTTTTATGACTAGGGAGAAATGCCTCTAGGATCAATATGCATTTAACTGGTTCTCAACCAGAATGATGTCTTTTCATGCAGAAAAGCTTAGGAATAAACTGCATGTCAACAGATTATCTCCCTAGCTTTTGCTTGGGAGATGAGTATTAGACCATTAATTTTTAAATAAAAATACAAGATTTTGGGGGTAAAAGTTGATCACTGCAATAAATGCCGTTACCTTGACCTTGTGTTTCTACAACTCTTATTTTTTCAGGTATTTTGATAGAGATGTTAAATGTATTAAAGAATTCTTCAAGAAACGTTTCAGCTATGAGAGTGAACTCTTTCCAACGTTCCAGGATATCAGGTATAAAATACAGCAGGACTGGCTTATGTGGCAAGAAGGAATGCCATCCCTGCACTCGTGTGTGTGAATGTCAGCGTACCCCTTACCATTTTCTGTATGTAAACATAATTTGATCTTTCAGTCACATTATATTATATTCCAGCTAAAATCAAATTCATTACGTTAATTAAGTAAATAAATAAATGCTGACTGCAGAAATGGAATCTCCTGCAGTAGATGTTTGCTACTGCCAGGCTATGCTGTGGCTGACTTACCTAAAGCTCAGTTCTATCCTGTTGTGCACCATGTTTCAACAGAGTGTGCTTACCCAAATAGCTACAGTGCAACTTGTTTGTAATCCAGAATAAAATGTATTACTAGTACAGTGAAATCACATACTAAGAAAAACCTACTTGTATTTCTTCCTCAGGAGAGAGTGTTCTCTTGACATCGAGATTGCTGCCAGTGGCTACACAAAAGAAATGCAGGAAGATGATGAACTGCTTTACCCAGCAGGTCCTGATGAGGAGGATCATAAAACAAGCACATCAGAACTTGTAGAAGATCCTGAGTCTACACGCAGCCTTCCCATCTCAGATAAAGATGACGGTGGAGACGTGAATGAAGTGGATGATTTCTCTGAAAGCAGCTCCTCTAAAGGCTTGATGAATTGCAGTGAAGAGGCTGATATGACTGAAAGTACTGAAAATACACAGAGGCTGAGTATGTCCGAGTTGAGGTCTGCCTTAGAACAAGTTGAAGGGCAGCCAACCCTTTGGAACACAAATAATGATGCAGAGAGTGCTGTAATTGCTTTCACTGAGGACAAAACAGGAACTGAAAATGCGGCTGAAGTTGAAAATCAGACAGGTCCAGGAGAAGGCCCTGATGACAAGGACAATGAAGACGAATGCCCTGATCTGATTGACTTGTCAACATTAAACAAGCAATTCAGGCCTTACAGGTAAAGTTCTACATTGATTGTCTAGAAGGTTGGGTTTTTTTTAATCCCACTGCAATAAATGAGCATCTTCAAATTTATTCAGTAATGACTGTTCTTCATTCACTCTAGTTTAAATTGAAGGCTATGTTTTTCTTTTCCCTAACATTAGTGAGAATATTGTTGTTATTCTGGTTGTTCTCATGCTGGGTAACCTACTGATGGGTACTATACTGAATATGTCATGCTGCTTAGTGGGACCAGTTAATTATTTCACAGTGCAGTGTCTAATGAAAGAAGTTGTGGAAGTAATGCATAGATCCACCCTCTCCTTTCTCCCCTGTTTTCTTTTTTTTTGTGTGTGTGTATGTGTATTCGTTTGTTTTGTAGTAGATAATAGTGAAAGACTTCTTGATGGTCAAGTACTACTTCTGAATAACTCTTAGATTTATCAAGTCATAAAACACATGTTTTGAAGAATTAGAGTTAAGATTTAAAGTGTAAAGTTTCTGAAGTACTCAGATTTGTGGTGGGAATTTTCAGAAGATGACCATAAAAGGCAAAAGATGTTTATTTTGTTGCATGGAATAACATACCCATTTATGTATTTTAGAAATGAAGAGAGTATGAGTCACATTAATGAGCACAGAACCCGGACTAAAAGCATCTCATCGGTCAGCAGTGTCGGGGCCTGTTCAACCATTCCACCAGTAATTAGAATTATTTTCTAGTCTATTTTGTTAGTCAACCTTAAACTGCATGCAGTTGATAGTATTTATAAAAATGTGCGAGTGTGGTGGTAAAGTGAGTGTGATTAAAAAAGTGATTAATTATTCTCATATACAAGCAGTGTCGTAAATCCAGGGTCTGCTGTTTCCTACTTCAGTAGCCTTCTAGAATGAGACTTTACTACATGTTGTTAAGTAGTGTGTTTAATTCTGTGAAGAAGCTTTGTCTTGGACAAAGGTGCCTCTGACTGGCTATAATATTCATAGAATTTTTTTTTTTTTTTTTTTTTTTTTTAAGATAAGTTTATTGCCCTATCTTTAACATACCGTAAAAGTTACCTGCGTGCAAATGGCTTCTTTGGGTGTTGGCTAACAGCTTTTTCTAGGATTTCATCTGAGAAGAAAGCAGATGTCAACGTTAGTCGTCACAGCTCTTATTCTAGGGAATGGCCTTGGGTCTCCCCAGGGAGACAGGAACTTGGATTAGAACTGTACTGTAAGGGAAATGAGAGCCCCCATGGTCTGCCCAGAGGTCTACAGCTTCTTTTTTTTTCCAATTAATTAGAGCAAGTGTGCAGGATTTCTTGAGAGGGGGGGAAAAAGGTGATATTAAGACTTAGGGAGAAAATGCCTTGAAATTAGGCCCCTGTACCACTTGGTGGCAGCAATGGTCATGATGTTGCTGTGAAAGGTGTGTGAGCGCTTAGGGGATGTTCATTTATTCCACAGGCAGACACAAAACACATGGGATAAGCTCAGGTGGCACGAACCTAGCTCATATTCTGGCCTAAAAGAAACCCAGTAGCAGGAGAGGCTGGTTTCTAGACAGTGAGCCACACAAACAACTCTCAATCCTGCAACATCTTGCCCAACACTTCCTCAGTAACTGACCACAGCCATGCTCATACACTAAGTGAAAAGAAGATTTCTGTCCATTGTGGAATCATGTTGGAACTTTTGAGTGTTAGAGCTAAAGAAAAGGAAGTTTAATGAGCTAAATAACATTAAAAAAAAAAGTGACAAATATAAGAATTAAAAAGAATGGTACGGGATTAAGACCCACAGAGCTGCTTAGAGTCAATGCCTATTACTGCTGCCAACATTTCTGTTGTTTATACAGCTTGCTTTCTATACAGGGGAAAAACATTTACTTTTTTTTTTTTTAATGCATGTTAAAGCAATATGAGAGCATAGCAATATTTTAAAATAAAGCATGTGGAAAGAATTCTTACAGGCATATAACAACAGCATAGGTGCAATCATAACTTGGAGATTATCCTGAAAAGACCGGGTTGGGAATTATGACAAATAAGCTATTCTAAGTGAAAGGGGATATCTTACTGTGCCTGTACAAATCTTTGTAAGGACAGTTCTAATTTAGAGGAAATTATGTGAACTGTCCAAAAGGTTACATAATAAAAATGTAAATCTCTTTACTTGGAGCATTTTAATAGTTGCTTAGGCCTAGAATGGCCATGACTAGTGAGATTTGCCCACTGTGGTTGAGCACTAAGGTTTTGTGAATTAAAATTTTGAATACAATCCTTTCAGATATTCCAGACATCTGTGATACAGTTTCTCTCAGATTTTTGTAAAAACCACCAAGAAATTCTTCTGCTGTCCTTGACTGCAGGCGAGAGAAGTAAAGCAGCATTCACAGAATGACAGTTACCTATCTAACAAAAGAAGATATTAATGAGACAGTTTTAATTCTGATCAGTTCTTATGGAATATTTTTAAAGAGAATTTGCATTTTTTATTTTTTATTTCCAAAGAACTCATTGTTTAAATGCCCAATATGTAGGGAAAGATGCATTTGATGCAACTGTTTATTTTTTCTTTAATCCATATTTTAATAGTCAGTCTGCATGCGAGGTAACTGCGATGACACTGATTACTACAGCATTCTTTTCTCGAATTCCTGGACTACCTTGTATTTTTTTTTTTACTGCAATTATACTGGTCACAGCTACTTTTAAAGAATATAACTTGTGAAAATTATGCTTTCCATTTCTTGATTTATTTCCTACTGATTTGCTACTTAATATGCTACAATGCAACTTAGTTGATAGTACAATAAAGCATCACAAGGCAACTGAAATTAGGGTAAACATGAAATGAGCATAGTTAAATTCATTTAACTATTTAACTCTTTTACTGCTGCTAAAAACAAGCCTACATATTCCTCCTGTTGGACAGAAATTCTCTCCATTTATTTGGACAGCAGCAAATCTTTCATTAATGGCATAATTATTCCTTCATACACTTTTTAATGCTGTAATGGTGTAATAATTAAAAAAGGCATCCTCACCACAAAGCTACCTCAGATATAAGATAACTCATATCACCACAAAGAAATGTCATGCATGATTTTCTAATGTAGTGTTATAAAAATCAAAGTGTGTTGGTTGGTTGGTTGTATTTTGTTTGCCTTTTTCCAAGACAAGAAACACAGGCATTCAGCTAATAGGACCAATGCAGCAATCTGAGTTTCCATCTTTATCCAAATGAATCTGCAGCCAAAAACTGTTAAATAATGGCTTGATTTTTTTTTTTTTAATACTATATATAGCTATGTAGAGTGTATATGGCTCTTACACTAAGATTGCCTTAGTGCTAGATGATCTTCAGCAAGTATTGATACTCCATTTATTTGTTTGTAGGAACTGGTGAAACAGAAGATAAAACGTCAGCTGACCAAGCAACAGAAGGCTGCTCTGAGGCGGCGGCTGCAGAAAGGAGAGGCCAATATTTACACCAAACAGCGTCGAGAAAACATGCAAAACATTAAGTCCAGTTTGGATGCGGCCAGTTTCTGGGGATAACCCATGAAAATTTCCTTTAGAACATCACATATCATACACGTTTGAAAAATCATATTTTGGAGCAATAGCCCTTTTATACAATGGAATGTTATTTTCCAAAGCTAATAAACGTCATTCTGGTTCCTGGGATTTGATTGTGAGATTTTTGTTCGGTGTTTCTTGTTGAAAACAGTGGCTGTGATTTAAACTGAATGGGTAGTATGAGGTAGGATAAACAAACTAGAGTAATTACAAATCTTGTTTTAAAGGGATTGTATGGTATTAGTGAAGTTAAGAACAGTTTGCAGTGCAGAAGATTCCTCTTAGAATTTTCCCTTCTGCCTTAAAACTAATTTTTGCAAGGATTTGAAATGGAAATCTAAAAATGTTTTGCCTTAAAAAGAGATACTTCCTCAGTTTAATTAAAAATCAGAGAGATGAACCTGTTAGTGGTCAATACTGAAATAGTTAACATTCCAAGATCTCTTTTATACCTGTATAGACACCAGCAAACCATATGTAAATACCCATACTTTGAACCCAGCAATTTTCAATTATTTTCCCTTCATTCCAAGCTTTCACATATAAATCTTGCCCCAAAAAGGCACATAATAAAAACAGTTTTGTATCAACCTGGCAAGCACACAAATTTTTGAATGTGCCTCTGCATTTGCAAGTAAGCTTAGTTCCTTTGCATCTACTAAATTAGCAACAAGGATGATGATTCTGGAACTTTTGTATTGAAAAATATTACACTGACTTCCAGCTTGTATTTTCCTTGTGCCTTTTGAAGACCTTAAAGAAAAACAAACATCCGTTAAGAAAGGTATTTCAACTAATAAAACAAGGTGGTGTGCGGGGTTTTTTTTGCTTCTTTTTTTTTTTTTTTTTTTTTTTTTTTTTTTTTTTTTTTAGTACATCTTTATTTGAAGGACAGAAGTGTTTGTGAGTTCCAAAAGAGCAGGTCTGCTTTATCTATGCTCAGGCTGTAAGATGGAGCACTTCCTAGAACGCCCAAACTGACAAGAGCTTAATTTTTCTTGGTCTTTGAACATCTTAAATCTACTTTATTTGCCTGGGGAAATGAGTAACTTGGAATTTGATCTTTGTTTTTCTGCTCACAGGTCTGATAATATCTGCTCTGCCCTGTGTTCCCGCTATGTCTGATACCTCATTGGGTTGTAGCCTCCATCCTGTCCTGCAGCATGCCCTGGCTTTTGAAGTTTTAAATTTTTGTTTCATTGCCAGAATGGTAGGATGTGGTCTTAGCCAGCAGTAACATAGGGTCTTAAATATAAGCGCAGTGGGTCACTGAAGCAATGCAGCAGATAGATAGGTCTAAGGGTGCTTCGCTGCACCCTCAGAGCTGTGTGGAAAGAGGCAGCTCAATTAAGTCTTAACCTGTAAGTGATTGAAATCAAGGCATGTAGGCTTGTTTTTAGCAGCAATAGAAGAGTTAAATAGTTAATGAATTTAACTATGTACACAAATGGGAAAAATATATATATATATATTACACGTCTAGGTTCTTACCTGCTAAGAGGCTCTTTCAGCAGCATTTTAAACAGGATTTCAGAAGCATCTTTGCCCAAGATGTGCAGGCACTTCTTGGCTTCTAATTTAGAGCTTTTCTGAGCAAGTTGGTTTTTCATGTGCAATCTGAAGTCTGTCTGGATAATTGGTTCCAAAAATATACAAAGGTTGTAGAAGATTGATTCAGCTCCATCACAAAAGAAAGGGTAGTGGAAAGGTATGCTGTTTATTTTCAAAACGTTCCTTTAAAGCACCCATTAACTCTTTTAAAGGTAGTCTAATGGATGGCTGTAAGTTATCATTTCCACTTACCCTGCCACGCTAGACTCTTCTGAGACTGGAACTAGCGAGGGAGGAACTAAACCTCAAAGTTATAGCTTAATATATCTTTATTACCTCTCTTTTTTTTTTTTTTCCCTGCAAGCAGCAGAATTCCTGAAATATCTAAAGTCATCAAAGGTCACGATGAAGTTTACATATAAAATGAATTTCATAGTACTTGCTCTGTTTGAATGTCCACATCTGAAACAAAGTTTACTTTATTTAGAGTGAACTTAGGGAAAGGTAGAGGTTAAGACAATAATGTTTCTGACAAGTCTTAAAAAATTCACATATTTAGCAGCAAGGAATGTGTGGGTTAAAATGAAATTGGTTTAAAATGTGTCATTTTAAAAAGCACACAAGGTAACAGTTTGAGTGCATGTGTTTGTAGTGAAACAAGTTTTGAAAATGAATACAGAGCAGATAAACATCATTTGTACCACATATACTCATCAGATGCAACAGAATGTGTTAAAACGTTAGTGATTTGGGTACAGAGTTGTATAACATCATCTTCCAACAACTGCTACATCTGAGGATACAAGTTTGTGCTTGTGTAGAAATGCAGGAAAAAAAAAAAAAAAAAAAAAAAAAAAAAAAAAAAAAAAAGGATAGCTCATTCATTCATTCATTAAGCAACGCATTCTTTCTTTGGATTTTTTTTCCAACTCAGGAAGACAAACTAGAACCGAAATACAGATATTCTGTACCAGCACAGTGACTCTAACTTACATACAGAAGCCGGTGTGACACCTGCAAAGCAGCTGCACGTTTGTGTGTCTGCTCCGGCTCCGTGCCGGCCGCAGCGCCTCCGCCCCCGCGCAAGGGTCCCGCTGGAGACCAGCACTTCGCGGCGTTTCCACAGCGGGGAAACGCTCCGCGAGCGCGGCGCACGCGCGGCGCGCAGCTGAGCGGCGCTGCTCGCGGGCCCGCCGCCCGGAGCCCGGGGCTCGCC